GCTGAATGCGAAACGAACATAACTGTCACTAATTTAATCTTAGAGCATAATCAATGGTAGTTGTTAAGTTGGGATATTAAATATTTTTTTATTATAAATTGTATTGTGTCAATTAGAATCTCACATTTTGGAGTTCTAAATCTCTTAAATTAAGACTTTTTATTGAAATTCTTAAATGTTTTGTGTATTATTTAATTGTTTTAACTTTTAACATTTTTGGAGTTCTAAATCTCTTAAATTAAGACTTTTTACTGGGGTTCTTAATTGTGTTAACCGCTCACGTACTCAAAATAAAATTTAATATGAAATTAATGATTTATGATAAATCCCGAAATATCATAACAAACTAATTTCTTTTCACACACGAATATTAAAGTAAGTTGAACATATTCCAAATAATCTCTATAACATATATCAACCACCGTTCTTCAATCCAAACAAAAAAAATGGCTTCCCAAACATATACTTATGCGGTTCCAGAAATAGTGCCACCGTCCTCTTCCTCCCCTCCTCGTCGTTGGTGGTCACGACCAATAGCGACTTATCCGGCATCTAATGATCGTGAACCAACTTGCACGGAGTGGTGGGCTTCCGCTTCACCATGCTGCGGCGGCTTACTCACCGTCATCGCCGTCTTCTGCATCTTCTCATACGTCATCGACCAATCTCTCCCCCACGCCAAATTCTCCATCCAATCCATGAACGTCTCTCCCTCCTCCTCCGTCGCCACGTGGCACGTCGACTTCCTCGTGAAAAACCCAACCTCGAGATACTCTATACACTTCGACGGCGATGACGCTTCCGTGAGCCTGGGTACTCTAAACGCCGCCGTTTTAAACGTCTCTCATATACGTGAGTCTAGAGATGTCACGGCTTTGTCCTTGGCTTTTGTTGCGGAGGATGGTGATCGAAACGACACCGTTTCTAAAGAGCTTGACTTCAAACTTAGTGGGAAGCATAAGCTTTACACAGATGTTGATGAAGCTGGACATTTTGTTATAAGATGTCAAAATCTCACACGAAGCCAAGAGAACAATATTGACGAGATTGTATGCCAATCTTCTTTTACACCTTTGGTGGAGATTTACTAAAACTGTTTTGCTTAGGTTTCTAGTTTTATTCATCTTCTTGTTATACTTTCTTCTGTTATTAGTCTGTCTAGTTATATTTTTGTCTTATTTCCTACAAAAAAACGTCCACTCTCAACATTAGATGGTTGCAACCATATAATTTCGATAAGGCATTCTAAATGTTGTGTTTCCTATAACCTCTAAATACAAGCCCAAAAGATACTCGAACGTGTATTCATTATTCAACAACCATTAAAAAAAGAACTTGATCTAAAATTTAATTTAATTAAAAAAAGTACGATTGTTGTCAATTTCCTTAGTTCCGATTTTGGTGTTAAATAATAAAACTAGTTCCGATTTTTTTTTAATTATAAAGTAGATAAACATAAAAGCTTGGATCAATTAGTTGTATAACCAAAAAAAAAATTATATTACAAAACCTAACAAAAAACCCTAGATTTAATGGGTAGGCTCTTGCCACATAGGAAGTTTTATCTAGGTTTTGAAATATAATTTTTTTTTTATGGTTATAGACCCAATTTCCCTAAAAGCTTCTCTTAGATTTGCTTGCGGATTTATTTCAAAATTAAGATATTATTATAAGAAAGAAATAACCTTAGATATATATTTTTTTTAAATCGACTTTTCAATATATATCTAAAAACCTTATAAGGTTTTCTAAGGTTCTAAGGTTATAATTATATATCTAAGTTTATAGGTTAATCTAATTTTCATCATAATAGTGTTAACACTTTGAACATGGCAACGTCTCAATGCTCTTGTGGCCTCAATCGCCAAAATTGTCCACGTCACCGGCAAACTCCACCCACCGGTCCGGTGGAAATAACGCCATCTTATTGCTGTTCTTGTTACCTTTTGAGTACTCTTATCCTCTTCGTTGTCTTTCTCATCTTGTTATGTATGGGAATGCTTTTCAACCGCAGAAGTTGTAACTTGGAGCTCTTTGCTAACTCCATCTCCGTCTCAAACGCCTCAACCGCAAACGCCTCAAAAGCTGATTGGAGAATCGGTTTTGTTGCCAAGAGTCCTGTCACCGGCTGCCAAATCTCTCTCCGTACAATGACATCTCGTCTCCTTCGTGGCGATGAGGTTATCTCCGAGATATCTCCGGCGTTGGATTCTTTTGGACTGCTTGTTGCTTCCGGTGAAACTGACGGGCTGGTGACAAGTGTCGGTTTCGAAAACGCGGTGACTCCGGGAGTTATCGGCGGTGTGGTTTGGGATTTTCGAGTGGAGATTCTCGCCGGAGTCAAGGCAGATAGTCGACATGGTCTTTTGACGGTGTTTTGCGGCGGTTTACCGGTGAAATTTACGGCGGATTCGACCGGGAATATGGTCGGATCGTTGCTCGGGAGTATGAGACGGTGTGAGTATTTATTCCGGCGAGATAGATCTTATTAATTATCTCCAATTATGAATCTATGACATATCTATTTAGTTACGAGTTATTTGGTTTTTAGGTTATTTTGTTTATATTTTAGTCATAATCTATCTATACTTATAAACGAGAATTCTAGGTGGCGGCCTCAGAGCGAATTTAAAAGTTGGTTTGCCGAAAATAGCCTTAAAACACTACATAATTACGCTGACTGCCATGTGATCTATGATGGGCTTCGTATCATTTAGGAGGTGT